TTCATGCGACTATACATTGTAAATGATGTTTCATGACCATGTTACGTTACCGATACAACTTTAATACGAATAAGGGCTGTCAATGTCGTGACAATTCTGTAATATTAACTGAAAAAATCATGTTGGTCTCAATAGGAATTGAACTTCTTTTATGTGAAGTTTTAAGTCATTTTTTTTTTATATATTTTTATGTAGTTTTTATTATCTTTAAATTCTAACTTTTTTACATAACGTGTATGGTGTCATTGCATCATCAAAACAGTATCTGTTATGTTTTAAAACAGGATTGTATACACCTGACGACGTCAATGCTCAAAAGGTAAAAAAAATTGAATGGGGGGAGAGAATTTATCTGACTCGTTCAAAGCTTCACACAATAGTTCGACTAACAGTATCTGTAAAAGGCACTAATGGACCCGTTCGTCCTAATCATCATGAACAGGTGAACATAACATATGTTTCATACATGTAGTTGCAATTACGAATGTGTGCATTGCTGACATAGAGAATGCGCTTTGATGTCAAATGACACAGAACATATTCGAATTGTATGCCTTTTAAGTTAGAGGACCACAAGAAAAGCCTTATGCTTACTGCTGTGTGTTTTACAGATCCGGAACAAACTCTTCAACAGTATTAATTTTCACGATCATTGATCAGGTGTTTTCATTTTATTCCCAGTATATTGAACGCTGACGTATGCACAGCTGACACTTAAGGTATGCTAAACTTATCATTACCTGTATAATTCCTGCATAAACACTTTTTATATCACAGGTGTATTTTTATAGTATTAAATATATCACGTATTAGGCCTTAGGGGTCAGCGGCACAGTTAAGGTGCGTCCTGCACTAAAAAGTAACGTAGGGTCTATTGACACCAACAATTGATCCGAGTGAAGTATTGATTTGATTGTGGAACTGGCTAAGATATATTAGAAGTATCAATTGCACATATCAAATAACCAAAGCAGCAGATTTTTTTTTTTTACCCACATATTACAGTTACAGTTCTAACTGCAAGTCAAACATATCATATTAAGAAACACTGAATAGTTTATATGTCTCTATTAAATACATTATTGCATTACCAACACGACACTACACAAGGTTTACATTGTACATTGTAAGAGGAAAATTCATGTATATTTCCCTGAGAAAACTCACAATAAAACAAAATATAAACAGATTGTATATCGCTACCCGAAATTCGATCGTGTGAGATAATTTTATTGTGCATGAGGGGAAAGCTTCGTGTCTTGAAATTCCATTTATGTTATCGTTATCCAATGCAGATACTCTGCTATAGTAATGAGTGAGTAATGTCGGTTAAAAATACATAAAACCCACACAAACCTAGATGTGTCAGAAAGTACCCATTTAAAACATCCAAGTCCTTAGGACTCGTGTAGATGCAGAAACTTCCATATGTAGAGCCCACACAAACATAGATACACCCACATGAATCTATTTAGAAAAAGTAATCTCTAGTAGTCTCAGACATATGCATTAATATATTTAAGCCCGTTTTTGATTTTCTACTTTAAGGGTGTAGTGGTATCTTTGTCCTAAAGCCAAGTTCATTGGTAACCTCAGCATACTGTCCTGGACATAAATGAAGAACTGACCATAGGGGCATGCACATGTACTATTGTGTTATGCTCGCCATTTTAGATTATAAATTGTCTCCCCCTGTTACATATTATTTTGCTCTATGGTGTTTCCACATCCTTTTTATATCGAATGCCATGTATAGTTAATTGCCTGTCCACACAGTTCTGTACAACTCCCCAGCACCATTCTCAGACAAAACATCATATTGCTACATGTACAACCTCTTTGTTATAATCTTCTGAACACTTTTAAAGTTTTTCTATAGCATATTTTAATCTCGTTTTTTCTGGTTTCAGAAGGTGTTCCGTTGGTCTGCCCTTGTTACATGATGTTTGTCCGTTATCATTGTCACGTTATCAATATGTGCATTGCTTCAAGCATTATCTCCTTTATCTATTTATTTTAATTTCTGGTTAGGATTTTTCAGTGTGTCTTTACACTTTTTATCTCTGTCCAAGTCAAATAACTATTCTTTAAAAGACATCAAACGAACAAGGAAGTGTTGCATGGTACAATTTTCATCGAAGGGTAACATGTATAATCTTTAATCGGATAGCGAAATATTACGTAATTAAGTTTTATTTGTAAAATTCCACAAATTCCATAAAATCATCTCATTGATTAAAATAAATACGGACACCAGGATGATAACAGAAAAGTATCTACTGTTCGCTAAATAAACATAACAAATCACGTGACCAATATTAATCGACCGACACTTGGCATGGGATCATGTCAATGATTTATAACGCTTAGGCGTATAGTACATTTGGTTCCAGATGGCCGTTTTGGTCTATACAGCTCAGGCAAAACAACTGAATTATCTGCACGTGTTCTATCAGCCCTTGCTTATCCAGCATTGTTTTCTGTTCGGTCTAACGACTATGAAGTAGCCAGTCATTTAGAGAGGGATAGCCAATCAATGGACATCATACTAGGGATGAACAAATATCTTTTTTTACGACTGTGTTCTGAACAGCTTCACGATGAAGGCCATGTCCTTATATCATCAAACCCCCTTTGAATCAATGTAGTTCTAGGAATACAATATTAAATCGATTTTCAGTAATCTAATTCATGCACTATGATGTTATCATCATATCATCGGCAAGAACTCTAGGAATATTCTGCATTATCAAAAAGTGTTACCTTGTTGTAAAGGTTTTTATAGTATACATTTCATTGCAAGAGGTTGTTTGCCCTTCATTTCAAACATTCGATGAATTAGTCTAGAAATACGTCCGTTATCTGTGACGAGTGTGAAGATACGGTGGTGGCATTTAGTCCTCTACTTTGTTAACATGTACAGGCGGTGATGCCGGGGTGAAGTGGAAACCTTGATGCAAGACTATTCCTACTGTGACCATGCCCTAGGTGGGTTACACAGGATCAATGTTCCCCACTATCTCCGTTTTACACAACACTAATGTCATTTGCGAGGTAATCATTTGTAATTCTTGTCATTTAGCTATCGGCAGTACGTTTGTACACATACGTTTTCGTCTCCTGTCTGTCTATACGCAACCGTCCTAAGCGAGTTGTGGTGATTTGGAAATCCAGTCTTAGTTCCATTGTGTGTATTTTACTGTAACATCCCGAGGGTAAACATGTCCTGCAGTTAAATCCTCTGTTTACGTGGATAAACACGCGACACCTACGCCTAGTGGTGTCAACACGCACTGATTACCTCCCAGTCAACGGCCGGTCCACACGTTACAGCGTTAGTTAGGACGAACTACCCCCAATATTATGAACGGTGATGGTAAATGTCATCCTTTTATAAGCTTTGTGATTTACGACCATGCACTGTTTTGTCCACGTGTCTGTCCAGCGTGTGTCTGTCGAGATGTGCTGGCGAATAGTTTGCCATTGCAACTTACTTGGTATGTATAGTCCACCTTTAAATGGGTAATTGCATAATTCAAATATCTCCATAGCACAATATAACGCATGCACAACGATATGAGACATGTTTCATTCAAATAATCGTTGTTGTTGAATGAAGATGCTTTCTTAAGATGGTTTGATGTATCGCTTGGAAGCGAAGTTATAATACATTGACTGTTTCAGGGAATCTAACGTCTTATTGTGACTGACATACTCTTCAACAACAAGGTATTACACATGATTGCTCTAAATTAAGCTGAAACATTGTGGCGATGTTAAAATTATTGAATGTAGATGTTCTATTTTCAGCTTAAAATGAAGTATTATTTGAGAGACTTTGCAATTCAACCAAGAGCGACGATGACATCAACGTGAAATTACCAGATTATTGAACACTACATGACTACAAGATTGGGAAATTCGATACAGTTTCTAGGATTGGATTCGTCTTTTAAAGGATTTAACAAAGTTCGGTTGACCTTGAGAATAATAGATGGTGTCTTGACACGCCAATGACTCCTTCCGTTCGTCGACTGGTGTGCTATACCATAGGGTGATATAGTCAGTGAACCTAGGGAACAAAAACAACCCGTTTCGTTAACGGACCCTAACGACGTCTGATGTCTAGGGAAATCTAACGCCGGACTCTAGAATGTGACTAAACTTAACAATGGGCACTTTTCACGTTTTGCACACATTCGCCAGGAGATGAAGTGCATGTTTAATGCTATTGGTACTTGCCCCGCGGATAGTTGAGAACTTTCCCGATGAACATTGAATTTGGAATGTTTCGGCTTTACTTCGAACTATATAGATATATGTTAACACTGTATAATGGATTTGCACCTTCGTCCTATTTTCTATCTGCACAGGTCAGATTAGAAACTGTACATTATGTATGAATGGAACAACGTTGTATGTTCAGGAAACATGGCAAATGAATCTCACCGCAGGAAACACAATGGTTGAGGATCTATTGTTCTTGATCGGTCTTCGCCCGTGCGCTAATTAAAACGAGTACAAATGGATTTTAAGTCCATAAGGTTTTTCATATTCAATCATGGGCTAGCTGTAGTGTTACTTGTGAATGGGATCAGTGTTTCCAATGAGTGGGATTTTTACCGATCGATTCCCGGCTAGTACCATGTACCACGATCTAATTTGCTTATAACCATCGCCACTTGATAGCACAGCGGACATATAAACTGTGTATAACAAGACATATTATAGTGATTACCCCAGTTTTATTTAACAGATTATTACTGGGAGTGATTGTTGCGGCCAAGTGTGTCTCCCTGAAGGAGGACATGTACAAATGAACAGCACTGTCGAACGGAAGGGGTATACAGTGTCGCTGACTGTATAGTGCTAACACCATACATCCGTGCAAGCTCCAGCCTACCAAGAGGCACTGAGCGGTATTTATATGTTCATATATGTCTACGATTATTCCATAGGCTGATTGATTTGTAGGTATGAAGCAAACGTCCGGCCTAGGCTCTAAAGTGAAGGAGATGTCCGCTACGAATTCCCGGTGACATGTCTCTACAATTTCTACTATGGGCGAAGTTTCAATCACATTGATTCTACTGGCGATTCTCACCTATTTCGCGGAATATTCTTTAGCTGGTAAGTTCATTAAATTATGTCTGCTTTAAATATGTATTTCCTTGGTATTACCATTTCAGTGAACTTACATTTATTGTGGTTAAAATTGTTTTTGTTATTATTTATACTCACTCGTACAAGACAAGTTAATGTTACTTTAAAGTGAAGTTTAAATCAATAAAACAGCTAGGGTTTTCAGTAATTACTAGCGAAGTTATCGATTGTGAAAAAAAAAAAAAAAATAGTCGGCAAAAAAAAATGTGGCATGGAGGAAGTGCCCGCATATCTATTGTTCAGTGATTGAAAACATATTCGTTATCGTATGATATAAATGATGATACTCCATCGTTGTTATAAGACCTAATTTAATGAGGGACCTGCAGTGGTCTTGTACACGTGTGTTACACAGGGTTCGCGAGAAAGCACGTGTACTAGCTAAACCTGCTCTTACTATTATAGATAATTGAACAGAAATACGCAAGTTCATTGACAGGACATTTAACTCGATAAGAGAAATGCATTAATTTTATGATTAGTATCTTTGAAATTGGTAAAATATTGTCTCTCTGTGGGGTTCTATGTATAAACAGCTTTCATTCTGCTGTACAAAGTCTCTCTCTGTTCAGCGTTTGTTTAATAATTTACTCAGCAAGCCGATATGGTTTTCATTCCAACATCTGGAATAAAGATTATTTCTATTTCTGATGTAATGCAAAGTGGGCAATGTCCGCGGTTTTTCAACACTGTTCCGCTACAGTAACACTTGCCGTGATCGTACTGGTAGAATATATTATAAGAAAACACATACATTTTGAATGATCAAATATTCTTGAACAGAATATGAAAGACAACATACAAAGATCATATCAAGGTGATTGCAAGTAACATTTTATTGTATTGCCTTGCTTTTTATGTAATGTTTGTTAATGTTTATGTCTGGGAATATTTTATATAGATTCGTCGAATCATTTATGGTTTTTCATGTTGTCAATTTTGTATTTAAAATTGAAGTCATACGTTGTTGTTATATACCAGATGTCACCAGTATTTACAATACATTTCACGTGTGTTACGTTCCACTTCATACAATGTATAAGAGTAAAGGTATCTGGCGAAGAAAATCCCATTGGTCGCCTTGTTAGTTTTGTTCTGAAATTAACCCTGGCCACGTGATGTGCTTTCTCAGCAACACATGTACCGTCCTTGATTATTAAATGTACTATTTATTAACATACAACATCTTATTGACAAAAACCAAGATAGATAAATCACTATACACGCGACATTACCATGTTTCAAAAAATCGCTTTGAAGATGATAGAAAGGGGCACGTATCTGGAGACAACGTCATTAGGATCAATTGAATTTTAACTATAAGTTAAAATTAAAATCCGGGCATCTATATGTAGCAGGTTTCTTGGTAAGGTAACAATTTATATTGTTTCCTTAATTCTACTATCATAATTTATAATAAATGTTCTTTCTTCAGTGGTAAAATACCGGTCTCTTATGCCTATAAATTGTACAGTTAATAATTGATTTGCTACTATACAGCGTGTTCCATCCCATCATGTTTTTCCTCTGGAATAATGTATACTGGTCTTGTTGATCGATACATCCAACAGCCAGGGTTTTCGTATGAGAAATTTAACGATACGCTGGATAATTGTTATGCTCGCTACCATGACATCATTTCTATGGGATTTTGTTTGTTTGCTATTTTGAAAGAGTTCATGATGTCGTTACATTTACTTGTTTAGGTCCTCAATATTTGTTTTTAGTTGAACTTGGGGTTTCGTTTTGTTCAAGAATGTTGACGTTATAATATTGTTTTCATTTCACGGTTACCTCATTTGGAATTTGTTTGGCTTTTAGAAAGAATTCATGACAAATGTGAATTATCATTCCTGTTGTGAAAGTAAAATATATAACAGAGATGCACGCACTTTCCTTTGTTGTAAGGTTTTTAAGATAAAGTTACAGCAAACCATGGCGTTTTTGATATTCGAATGTATAACAAGCATGTGCATTTACATATCACACATTACCTCCACATTGGACCGAAACGATACCAATAATTTGGCAGCTCTCCCTCTTGGAAATGATTGATTTTTACTTGAGTACATTTTACGCCTTTAATATGGATCGTGACACCCGGTGTGATCAGGTATCACCTGCTTACTGGTAAGATATCAGTGATATCGCTCTGCCTTCTTGGGCTCTTTACGAACCTTTCAATTATCATGTCATGCTCGCGTCGGTGCTTTGTCCCAAATATACTTAACGCTTGTGAGGTGATCAGACAATTCGATACGTACTTTACCAAGATGACATCTATGAATACATCTCGTGCGTCCATGCATACTTAAAACAAAACTAGACCTATATGATGTCTTACAAAGCTCATACAACGTAAATGTATTTTTAACTAACTCATAATATAGAAAAAAAAATTGGCGGTGAGAGAATTTCTGTTTTCCCTTTACTCGAACAACATGATGATTTGATTGCAGGCGGAAATAGTAACACATATTGAACTATAAATCATAACAATATTGTCAACGCAGACATCTCAACGTCAAAAATGGTTTAAAGATGCAAAGCGCAAAATTGTTAACTGCTAATATACAAAATACTGATTTATTTTGTATCGTATTTTCTAGGCAACAATATAATATACAGTATTCCGTCTTTGCGTATTGCAGAGTTATCCTCTCTTGTTAGCAGGTATTGATTGTTACGTCATTTGTTTGTGAGAGTAACGTCATCAATGACGTAACAATCAATACCTGCTCCGAGAAGATAACTCTGCAATACGCAAAGACGGAATATATACTTGCTGCAATATTTCATATTTTTCAATATATACAAAAAGTATGGCCGTGGGGTCTAGAGCACTAGTCAGCTTTTGAACCTCGATGTGCTTGCAGATGTGTGTTCAACAGCATCGGACTTCTGAAAGTTTTAAAATGATTATGTAAATTGTGTTTATCATGGGGAAGACTTTGATAAATGATCGCCTGTTCTAATCTCGATCTGTGTTATAAAGGTGTATATGAAATTTGACTTTTTGAAATGAATGAGCAGTAGGAGAGACACCGTCGGGATGTCATCTTCAATTTCATCTATTTTCATTTTATCATCTGAAATAAGGAGAAAAGATAAGAGGCGAAGAGCTCCGTGAACACGTCTGCACTCTGTATGAGACCACAGAGAGCATAAAGAGTATTGGGGCGTGAATACAACCTAAAATATTCTGATTTTTTCATCTATTTATGTTTCCACTGCGGTTGTTTGTGAAAATGAGCTGTCGATTTAGAAATGAAAACTGCAATATCATTTACCGCTTTGATGATGCCACACACAAGAGCAGTGGTTAATCTTTCTATGGCAATTACTACAATTTACAGCACGCTTGAGTCACAATGAAATTGATATCATTTCGGTTAATTGATTCCTATATTAAATGTTAATCCTATATTTAAATAGTGATGCATTCGGTTAGGCTACCTCAGCGTGTCATTAATTTCTCGCCGTTTAGTTTGAGTAGAGAATGGCTATTAACACGTTTGATAATTTGCTTGGTGTTAAACTGCTTCATAAACTTTAGTCATTTCGTCTCAGATCATTAAGTCTAAAGTGTTACACTAAAAACTTTACCGAATCTGATGGTAGACATCAAAACAGGCGCCAAATGTGATGCCGGACCCACTGCCTGTTTCTATACACTTGGTTCACATTACGTTGTAGAGGTGTTTAGAGAGACGTTTCGGATGACGTGTTGTCTTTTTTTGAAGGATATCTTCACATTTTTTGTTGTGTCCATTTTATATCTAATATGAGTGTTTTTGATTCAATAACATAATGATGTAGCATTCGGTTTTTTTTACTATTCAACATTATGAGGAATGATATCAATGTCACATCACATCAATTAGGACTAATACCTGACTATGTTCCTCTTACGGGTTATTTTCAGATGAACAATGTCACTTTCTTGCATTTATGAACATTATGCACGATTGAGACCTGTAGTCATACAATTGTAATAATAACTGAATAAATATGCATTATATGGCATTAACTATTTGAATTCAAACATGGATACTAGATATGTTAAACATCCCAAATAAACCAAGCTGCATATTAAATGTATTGTGAATGAAACGTTAGACTAATGATGGTATACATTCAGTTAATGTCTCGTCTATATCATCTGTTAATTTACACTGGGTCTAGAAACGCCCATATTTTTTTCTCTTTCAATTTCTGTAATATTCTTAGAATCAGTGGTGTAGGAGGCTGTTGATCGTAGTCTGACAGTCTACGAACACTAGTCCATCACTTGGTCGCAGGTTCGATGCCTACGTGGGCCAGTCGGCGCAGGTCGGTTAATTTTTTCCGGTCATTCCGGCTTTCCTCCACCACCAAAACTTGTCAAGTCCTTAAATAATCAGTGCTGTTAATAGGACGTATAGCACACAAAAAAAATCAAAAAAATCAAAAAAAAAATCATAATCTAGGTGTAACTTCATATTTGAGTTCTATTAAATCTTCATATATCATCATATCATCTTATTTTATATTTGGTGCCCGGGCAGTCATAAACGACAATACATAAAGCGCAAACGTGTACACTCAATGATAATGGTTAAATGAGTAGAACACAAATAATTATCTTTCAAATACTTATTAATATTCTATGTATTAACCATAAAAGATATCTCAACAATTTGTAACTCAGCTTGCTATTGGCCAATCGTACTAAGTGTTCTATGCTCCCAAAGCTATCTTCAAGAAACATTCATCGTTTTTACAATAATGCAGGCTGATAAGAAACTAATAAAACATTCGTCTACCATGTGATAAGATAGTAAAGCTTTGAAGTGCCTAGTGCCATATAATGACTAGATACTACATGCCACACAGTACTACGAGATCATGCAATCGCCTTTTTATTGTTTTTAATTTACATGTGAAGTGCTCATAGCAGGGGGGATTATAAGGAGGCTACGTTCACC